GTATTAAACTGCTATGGAATATTATAAAACATAAACCTTTAATAGTTGTATTTAAATTTGCATGGTACAGGGTATAATTTTCGCTTATTCTTACAATAGATTTCATGCCACCTTGACCACGAGGGCGCAAAATACGTATCAGTGCACCCACATGCTTGCCTGAAACTATGTTTTGCTGCCTTAAAATTTGTGGGTGGGATTCTGGGCAACCATTTGTCAAACCCCCGGGGTCCTCCAATACCTGGCCCCTGTGCACATATACGAAAGGCAAATTCCCAACCCCCATGAACTGTCTATCAGGAAAATTCCTGGGGGTGTCCTGGGAGGGGGGATGGTTACTCCAGGAATTGACTCATGCATTATAGTTGCATTTTTGAGTTTATTCCTACAGAACAGGCAACATTCTTTCTATTGGTTACAATTTCCCCTCTGAAATTCTCCTTTTGTCTAAATTTTTGGTCCTGAGGTCTGATACTTTTTCCAACGCCTGTACATGGCCCACATGGGGGACTCAGGGGCCTGCTCCAGAGCACACAGCATCTTTATAAAATTTGTTAAGTTGTGAAATTGTGAATGCAAAAAGGCTTGCCAAACAAAAACATGCTCATGTTTTAGGCCAATGGAACTGTAGATTCTGTTTACCGTCCACCGCCCGCATGCGCTTGAAACTACCGCAAGAATTTTTCATTATTCTTAATTATTTTCATTATTTGTCATTATTTTTAATTCTACGCGTCGAAACTTTCAAATATACATCAAATCTTCGATATAAAAAGCCGTACATTGCGGATGTATGATGGATCAGTCAGCATTTGTTCGGTACACTCGGAAATTCGCGAGTCTGACATGTGCAAATTCGAAAACAATGGCATGACAAAGAAATTTTCAGCAACGGAAAGCCCAAAAATGATAAAAGAATGCTGGACAAAAGTGTTGATGGTCGAAACCAAAAGAAAACGATTTAAGGATCATTTTTGGTCGGAAAATAGACAATAACAAAAATAATGAAAAATGAATAATGAAAAAAAACCGCATCAGATTTTTTAAATTCTCGGACGGTAAACAGAATCTA